TGGTGTGTATTTTTGCCACAATTAACAAAAATTAATTACATGAATAACAATGAATACAAGGAAGTAAGAAATGTTCTAGAATTGATTGTGGTGATGATTGTAGGACTCTTTTTGATATGGTTGAATTATTGAATTTTATGATATGTGGATGAAGTGCCAATAAAACTGTTAAAAAAAAAGAAGAAGACTTCTACAGCTGGGTAACCAACATTCCCAGGGTATTATGCTAATTATGAGCAGGATTTGTTCTCACTGAAATTGAAATTGTACACATAATCTAAAGATGAAGTGCCCTTCCCTACCAAGGAAAGAGGAACATTTTTATAAGTCACTTTTAGTAAAAGTCTTCAACTGGCCCTATGTCAGTGGTTTTCAAGTCGAGCTCTAAGGCGCCTCGATGGGAGAGGGTGTTAGGAAGAGGTCCCTGGACACTCTGGGGGATGATGGCACCTCCTTTTGCCCCTACTTACAAGTTCGATCTCATTTGAACAAAGGGCCCACACGCTGAGTGCTTCTATTTCATGTCGAGTATATATATAGAGACTAGATATCTAGTCTCTCTCTATATGTATATATTTCATGGCTGTTGCTTCTCTAAAGAACCCAGCATAATACAATAATGATAAACCCTGAGTATAAATATTTCACTTCATTCTCACATTCACCCCATGAGGGGGGATGATATTTTCATCTCTATTTTACAGTTGGAAAAGCTGACAATAGCAGCTTGCTAATGGCCCGTCTCTGGTCCTATGGCTAACCTGAATGAACTAGGGGCCAAACCTAAGGGTCCTGCTGCCAGAGACTGCACTCTTACTTAGTTTGCAATGAATGATCCCAAATATTTGGGTCTAAAAAGAAATTCGTTTTAAGAAAACGCTTCCATTATTTTTCTTCTGACCTCATTCAAGTTAATTTTATTTTCTATTATCACCTTCACTGGTAAGATGAGTAAACTGAGGCACAGAGATGTGTCCAAGATGACAGAGCTCAAAAGGAGCGCTAAATTTTAAGCAAAGGCAACTTGACATTGCATATGATGTTGTCTACCATACCATACAAGACAGGAGTCCGGGTGCCTGTACTCATTTGCAAACCTGGAGCTCTTACTCCTGGTCTTACATATTAATAAAAAAGGTAAAATTATACTCATGCACTGGTAATGGCTCATATCCAAACATACAAATGTATTTCATGAACCATGTTCTACCACTGGAAATACTGATTCCTAAGGTATCACAGAATGCTAAATCAAACCAACATATGAGGGCTTTACAAGTATGCTATTATTTTTTAATCAAATGCCAAAGTACTTTTCAAGTAAAAAAATTAAGCAAGAACAAACATTCAGTGTTAAAAGTAAATGTTCAAAGTTCTCTCCCTTGTACGAAGATCTGCTCTAATATCTCACAGTGCTCTCGTTGGTGTCCCTGGTGGTGCAAATAGTTAACATGCTTGGTTATGAACCAAAAACCACGTGGTTCCAATCCGTGTAGAGGC